CAACAAGGGTGAATTTTGAAAACATGCCAAATGAAATAAGCCAGACACAAAAGGATAAATATTGTACGATTTCACTTACATGAGGTACCTAGAATAGTTACATTCCTAGAGACAGAAAGTAAATAGTGTTTACCAAGGGCTGAGAGGCAGGGGGCATGGGGAGTTATTTAACGGGTAGAGAGTTTCAGTTTGGGACGATGAGAAAGTTCTGAAGATGAATGCTTGTGATGATTGCACAAAATTCTGAATGTACTTAATGTCACTGAATTATACATCCCAAAATGGTCAAAATGGGAAATTTTATGTTATGCGTATTTTACCAAAATAAAACAAAATAACAGTAGGAACCATATATGTGGGTGTGTGTGTATGTGTGTGTGTGTGTGTATGTATAATGAATTTATAGCCCCAATCCCCATTTTTCTTTTTTTAAGAGAACTAGTTCTTTAAAGGAATTTTCATAATTTTTTCTCTCATCTTTTGTATCTATTATAATTTTTTCTAATAGTATCTTATAAAACAGCTAATCTATCAAATTTATGCCATTAGATTATGTTGTTAAAGTTCATACGTATGGGTGAAACTGTTTTACTACCTTAATCAAGATAATAATATTCAGAACATTTGGAATAGTTTTCCATGAAATGACATATTTAATAAATTCTTAAATTCCTGTATTTTATTTAATTGAAAAAAATGTCTACATGCATTAACATGGATGGCCCTTGAAAACATTTTAAGTAATAGAAGCCAGTTACAAAAGACCACATATTGTATGATTGTTTTGTTGGGATATGTCCAGTATAGGAAATTTATAGAGCTAGACAGTAGACTAGTAGTTGTTTAAGGCTGGGAGAAAGGAATTGTGGATTGGGGGACAACAGGCAGAGACTGCTAGTGGGTACAGGGTTTGTTTTAGGGGGAAGGAAAATATTCTAAAATTACATTGTGGTGATAGTTGCACCATCCTATGAATATACTAAAAAACACTTAATTGCATACTTTTTATGGGTGAATTGTATGATATGTGAGATATATCTCAAAAAGCTATTTTTAAAATGCTTAAAGGTAACGGTATAGTTTCTCTTTTTTTCAAATATTGTCTTTCTTCGACATATATCTTAGCTTAGTTGAAAACAGCATAACAATATAAAGTTTAGCATTTTAAATATGCGTATACTTCCTAACAAAACTGTAATCTGAGAGGGCTTTCTGATTTTTAACTATCAATATGAATGGAAAGACACCTGAATGCAAGTATTAATGTATTTTATATACTGTCACACACTGAGTGACTTTGTTAAGCTGGTCGTGTATATATTCAAAGACAGGCAGAATATGATGATTAATCTGATGACTTCAGGGCAATAAAAATGAAACTTAACAATTCTTTTAAAAATGTACCCATACACAGGATTGCTTTTTAAAATTAAGCCTGCTTTCATTCAATTCATTATTTTTCTTTCCTTTTTAAGTTTATAAAAAAAAATAACAAACATTGAGATGATTACCAATTTGTAATAGGAAATCTCCATGTAAAAACACCAGATAGAAATACTGTTTCTAATACAGAAATACTGTTTCTAATACTGTTTTGGTGATCTGGTTTGCCATTCCCTGGTCCCTGCCTGCAAAATGGTCACCATCTGTGTTTTAAGCAGCCCTCGGTACATCAGCCCTTAACTTACTAAGGATAAATGTTCTAACATTAACACAGGTATTAATTTGCATGCTAGCTGCTACCAGAGCTCCTCAGCGCTCTCCTCTTTCTCCTTCTCTCGCTCTTCCTCCACACGCCCACTGCAGTCTCCCCAGACTCTCCCCAGGCTCAGAACTCAGGGTTGCTCATGGCTGCCAATCTTCTGCGAGGCACATTTCAACTAAGCGCTCCTTTTTTTCTAGTTAACCTGGACCCCACACATCATTTATGAATTACTTCCATAGGAAAATACATTGTGGTTCCAATCTGAAGCTCCAACAGACTTTTAGAAATATAGCCCATGGTGGGGCTACCTATAAAGTGTCTGATTTTTACTTACGTATATATTAACTTATATAGTCACATATAATTTTTCACTTGTTCCAAAAATCAAGGCAGGCCAATTATATGCTTGTTTACCTGCTTTAGCAAACTAAACTACTACCTATTGAAATGTTGTCTTCTATCAAATAGCAATTATATTTTAAAGCTCTTTCTATGTATATTGATGTGGTTCTAACCCATATCTATATTTAAATATTTGGGGGTATACTGAGCACAGCCCTAGCCATTGCAGAGATCCAGAGAGAGGAGCAAAACAATTCCTGCTCTTGTAGAGATCTGTTATCATATTGCAAAGCAGAACCAAGGAAACACTTTGGTGACACCAGGAAAAGGTTGCTGAGGAATCAGAGGGAAAAGTAAGTTTTTACACTAGAGAACCTGTAACGGTTTTTAGGCTGAACCTTAAAAACAGAGAAGAATTTTGATAGGTGAAGAAACCAAAGGTTATCTGTAAACGAGGAGTTTTGAGTGAGAAGAGGGATAGAAGAAAAAACAAAACAAAATATGTACGTTGTCTCTTTCCGGTACATTAATCTATGTTAAGTTATGATACTTTTAGTCGGAGAAATACAGACTTGAATGCAGGGGCAAGTTGGTTTTGATTTTGATTGTCCTCTGGTGCCTACCATTATAAAGTTGCAAAGCCTGTCATATGTATGAAGCTGAGGTAATTACTAGTGGGAAGTCTTATTTTGAGAGCCAAAGGGAAAAACCACCAAATTGATCCTCCTTGTTTGCTATTAACATTTTAATTTGTAAATTGTCATACTGTAACAGGGCAGGCTTCGTCTAGTGCAGCATCCTGTTTACAGTAAGTGGGCCACCCTGAGTGTTCCAACAGAAATGGCACTGCCCCTTCTGGCCTGGGGTTCTGTTCCTGGGACCACCTTTCAACTTTATTTTATGCAAATCAGTACAAATTATGTCTCCTTCATTTACTAGTTAAGGGAACCAGCTTATTGAAAAGCTGTTCTATTTACTGATGGGTTCCATTAATCTGTATCAAAATGTGTTACCATGAACTTCAAGCCCTCTTCAAGGAAGAATAGTAGATCCTTTACATATTGAGTGCTTATGTATAAGCACATACTGGATTATTTTCTTTTATTTTCACAATAATAGTCCAGTAGCCCTACAAGGTGGGGATTACCACTGTGTCCATGCTTAGATGAGAAAACCAAGGCACAGAGATTGAGAGTGAAATTTTATTTCAAAAATTGTGTTATTTGTTAAGGTCATTTTTTTTTACCACACTAGACATGTTGAAAGTTAACTAAAGCTGAGGGTCCTGCCCCTCTAGAAAACAAATATTTTTGTTTGTTTTGATTTTCACTGTTTGAGAATCTTGATCTTCTGGTGTGAGAAACCTGAAAGGCAGAGAGAATCATAGCAGAAGGCCAGGCATTTACCACAGGGTCCATCATTATCACTTGCCCTGCCTCACGCAGCCTTAGACACAGGAGGTGTTGAGCAAGGATATGAAGAGCCTACTGTCTACCCAGAAATGTAATGGCACTGTGAAAGGACTTTTCAGCTAATGTGTTAATCACTTATGTTTCTGCTAAATTAGAAATTCTTCAACTCCAGTTCCAATATGGTAACCTATATATAACAATGGCTATATACCCGTTAATTTCTGGTAGAGAAGGTAGATAAAGGTTATCCATGAGGAATATTGTTTGGTTATTTGGGTTTCTTAGCCAAACAGATTTTTTTTAAGCAACAAAGCTGCTACTAAGGTGACTGATTTATTAACTGCATTTTTCTTCCACTTTGGTAAAAATGCTAATTTTCAGTCAGTGGAAAGAAAATGGAGAAACAAAGGGCATGGTTGATACATATGTATGACTTGCCCCTGAATAACTAAGAGGTGACTATATGGAATTAGCTTGCGCTGTGACTCCATAAGATCCCTCAAAATAGTGTTCTAAGGATGAAATGAGATAAACATGAAAGTATTTTGAAAACTAAAGATCACTGGACACATGCAAGTTATTAAAAAGCAGCTCCTTTCTTGATATTTTTCTCCCTATTGGATTCTTTTCACACTTTCTCTCTTCACCCTTTCATCCCTCCCTTCCTCCTCTCTCTCCCCTCTCCCCCCAATTGATGAGGAGACAGCTTACATCAGTGGAGGGAGGGCTAAATTAGTCCTTTTTTTTTTATTTTTATTGTTTGCATAGGTGGTTAAGTTCCCACAGCTTTTCTTGCATCGTTCTTTTTCCTACTCCCTTTCTATCCTTGGAGGAATTTTAAAACAATTTGTGGGGTTCCTACCTTGTTTCACTTAAATTTGCTCTCCTTGACTTTGCAAGATAGAGTCTCTTCCTGTTTTTCCCTTATTTCCCGTTTTTGGAACGCTGTATCTTCAAGTAGATGTCAGTAGTGACCAGCGGTGAGTTGTATTGATGATACTGTGCCTTTTGCATAGTAAATACTCAAAAAATACGTGTTCGTTAACTAGCTGACACAGAAACATGAGTAATAAATTACTTTTTCTCTTTCGGCATTTTTTTTAAATGCCCTAAATTTGGAGACTTTTCAACTACACCGGATTATATGGCCTCAACTGTTGGCCTTAAAATTGCTGTTTCTCCTGTTAATGTAACAGGCAGAATATAAGGCTGCTTTGAGCTGAAGGGGAGGGATAGTGTTTATTTTGAAGTACTCAAAAATCTTTTTAGTCTTTAGGTATTACATGAGTTTATCGCTATTTTGTCACCTAAGAGAGATGATGAACATGAAGAAATAACTCTTATATGGAATCCTACAAAAGTAATATTAAATTCCCAAATATCATCCTAGAGTACTGCCAGCTGCCATTCACTTTAAGAGCCTAAATGATTGGTCTTCAGCTATGTTTATTTGCTTCCACTTGTTAGTATTGATCTGAGGGAAACCATCCCCTGATTTGTTAAAATGATTAATGTTTTCTCCTTCCATTTTTTTTTTAAAGGAAATGGCTAAAATCCTTAATCACCCCAGAGTCTACGCTTTTCTGCACATACCAGTCCAATCTGCCTCTGACTCTGTACTCATGGAAATGAAAAGAGAGTACTGCGTGGCCGACTTCAAAAGAGTAGTGGATTTTCTGAAAGAGAAGTAAGTCTGTTAGCACTTAAGAAAATAACCGTTTCTATTTCCTTTCAAAAGCATGTGGCAAAAATGCACTTATTGTAGCCACAATTAAAGGTACCAGAGAAAAGGTGAAACTTTTGAAGCTTTCAAAGCCTTTAAGTTTCCTTAGGCACCTTGATGTGGTTTTTTCGTTTCTCTTCAGTTTATGTCCACCTTCCATCTGTACATGACACACCATTAATTTGTGTAAGATCGCCGGTCTTTATCTAGGGTAATGTGCATTGTGATCGTTTTTATACCTGACCTAGTAGAAGAAAACTGCTTTAAGCTTTGCTCCGCTTAAATCTCATTTAATGTGGCCTTTTGAAAGCTGGTTTTGACATGGAGGTGTGCCAAATCATGCCACTACAAAAAAGAGAATTTTCTACTAAAGAGCATTTCTTGGAGAATATCTGAAATGTCTTTGCTTTTACACACTATCCCTGTGGTGTACTTGAAGAATTGTGATTTATAAGGCAGTTTGGGGATTCCATGTTTTTAAACTTCGTATTGTTATTGACCAAAATTAAGACGTTTTACACAATCTCAGGCATGAATGATAATTTTGTTTCCACAGAAAACACTTGCAGCCCATAATTATATTCTTCAAAATCCTTCTTCTCATCATCACCAAACACTGAATGTCTTCTGTGATTATACAAGGCAGGAAATGGTCGTGCTGGCCACGGTCACACAGCATTTTCTCAAGTCAAGGGCAGATTTCTCCCTCTGGGGATATGTCATGTATCTTGGCATATTTGTGGCGTGGGTCGTCCCACTTTCCACAGTTTTTTTCCATAATTTTTTCTTTTGTTGCTTTTCTTAATTAAGACACAACTTTTTATTTCCATTTTCTTGTTTATAATTATGTACCTTTGTACCATGTCAAAGTATTTCATGGATATGATGACTTTATACAAATTGTATGCAATTATTTTTTCCACCATCAATTAGTCACTTATCCTGACTACATACAATGTTTTAAACCCTTTTTCTTCTTCTATGTACTTTCTCCTTCCTTCTTCATCTTTCCTTTATGTGTCTTTCTATTATTATTTTTTTTAACTCTAGGCATTTGTTGATTATTCTAACCACCAGAAATAAAGACACTTAGTGTAGATTCAAGCAAATACAGCTAATTGTTTGAATATTCAAATCAGTGAGTAGAAGGTATATTTACTCAGGGATTTCATAATTATGATCATTAGGTATCTACAGGCTTCAAAGTAGAAAACAGAATAATGACGGATCTCTGCCATCTTTAATACTTGCTTGGGTAGAGCTGAGGTCAAGACTAAAGAATAAAGATTTTTATGTTAAATGTTTGTTGTTGGCTTGTATCCCTCTTTTGCATTTATTCTAGCTTATTGTGGGTGAACTTAGCTCTTGTAAGAGAGTCCTTTTGGGCATGCTGACACTAGTGAATAGAATGTTTTCAAAATTGAAAATAAATTGTTGCACCTGTGAAATTTCTTCTTTTTTCTTACTAGAGCAGTAGCAAATAATGTGCAGAATTCATACCTGTTGCACAAGATTTTGCCAAGTGTAGGCATGCATCCTGTTGTTCAGAATAGACTAGAACACTTTCCAAATAGCTGGTTGCATTAATATGATTCAGTCAGGTTTAGGAATCAACACCTCTCTTTACCCTCCATCTGGGTGAGTGCTGACTCAGTTGTTTGGGGTATTAGCTGTGGCTACCTCACTGGGCAACCATTTCACAACAAGATCTAGCCTTTTATGTTGCTCCAAAGATGGATCTGTTAAATCTGTTGCATCTTGAACAGTCGCAACAGCATCCGTGAGCTATATAGAGGTCAAAAGATGATCACGTCAAAGTATTAGAAAATAGCCTCTTGCCTTTTATTTATGAGCTAAGCTCATTGTCCTTTCTTTGGATTTCAAGTTTCTCGGAGGCATCCAAGTAGCTTTTCTAGAACCATTCCGCTGGCTGGAAGACCCCAGAACCAAGTACTCTACCCAGCACGGGAACTTTCAGAGATTCCTGGAGAGGATATTGGGGATGCCTCCCATCCCACACCCATCCATCCACAGTTTCAGTTTCAAGTGCTATGAATCACTGGAATTGTAGAGTATATGAGTCTAGCCACTTAATGTCCAAGAGTTTTTTCTTTTTTAAAAAAAATTAACTCTGCATTATGTATATTCAGTGAGGGCAGAAGCAACCATGGTATACAATTTCACACTTAGATTATAACTTTATAATTTATAAAATGTATTGAAAAACTGTAGGAGTCAGCTAATAAGATATACCTGATATATAGAGCTGATGACTGAGAAAACTTACAGGTACCCTTTGGAAAAGAAGAAATCTTCGTTATTAATGTGGTGACCCTTACAGTTTTAGACAGTTCATCAGCCGTAACGTATGTTTCGTCCAGTCCATCCTGTTGCTAGTCATATAGCCTCACTCCTGTGAGGACACTATAATCCAGCTTTGCTCTTTAGTGAAAAAGTTTTCCTGTCTTCTCAGGGAGGTGCATCCATCCAGAGAGTAATTTTCAACTATGATGGACATTTAGAAATAATTAAATATTTTAAGCAGACTTCTGCTCTGATATTCTGCTTATTTTTTTTCTGTAAAAACTAGCAAAGCTTTATGCCAAATAGCTTAATGCTTACTGGAAACACCAAAGTTTCAGAGGTTCTGTGGAACCACTAGTCTGGATACCCGGTCCACCACAAAATTATTTTGTCCAGTGTTTATTAAAATTCAGTACAATATTGTCATTCTCAGAAAAAGGATCTAATATTTTATCCCTACCACTTTGTCACAAAACGACCCTAACTTCAAATGGTGTGTTTGATTCTCTCCTCTCCCGATTTTTAGCTCCTATATAAACGCACCCCTTTTCATTCGCTTCTTATTTCCTCTGTACCCTTTTTTTCTAATGACCCTTTAACAAATAAGTCCCATTTATTTCATTTTTTCCCAGCAGTGTGAAACTTCTCAGATATTCATGTTATGAATCAGGGATGAGGTATTTCTAATCTGTTTCTTCAAAAAATCCAATCTTTAAAACAACCTACTGCACTTAAGACTGAAATCCAAGCCATGGGAGTTTACCTGAAGCTGCAGGACTTGAAACTTCTAATTCAGCAGTATTTGTGGTGCCCTGCTCCTCCAGCAGTGGAGGTGAAATCTCTTTAATTAATTTTCTTTAGAGTTGAAATTGGCCCGAGTTTTACCTGGGAGCAATATAAGTTTACATATGAGCCAACTTGAAGCTGATTCATTATTTTCTTCATTTGTTTGAAAGTTGGCAACTGTTATCATAACAGCAGCTGGGTTGATGATAACCTAGGAGTGTTGGCACATGTTGAAGCATATGGGAATTTATTAAATCATGCAACCTTTGCAAAGAAAAGTGTCTGAGTTACTTAATATACTAATTTAAAACAGCTGATCGTGAGCAGACAATCAAATGACTTAAATTGTTCTGTTCAGATTTGTTAATCTACTTGGAAAATCAAGAAATTTGATGTTTTTATTGGAGTGGATAAAATGATTTCTGGAAATATGTCATTGGATTTGTAGGGATATGGAAGAAAACTACATTAAGCAAGAGGTGGAATTCTAGCTTTAGAAAGATTCATGTTTTTGTAATTTTTAATAAATACTGCAAACATTTTACTAGTTTTATTAATTGTCACTTAACTGCCTTTCCTGTTATCTTTTTAACAAATTGCTGGGATAAAAAGAGTATAAACTGGAACCATTTATCATTATTTTCTTGTGTAATCTTGAAAGAGTTACTTCCCACTGAGAGGTTTTTTAACTTTGTTTAGGATAATATAGTCAGGGTTCCCAGGACCTTGGACATAGACTTCAATTGGATCTTCTCATCTCAACAGCATTGTATTTATACAGTCACCCTTCAGAATAAACCACATTTTCACATATATTTAAAAAATGGCAACATGCAGAGTTCTTCTCTCCAGTATATGGGTTTTTTTTTGTTAGTTTTCTTTTTTCTTTTTTTTTCATGCGGGAGTCCAACCGGCAATCTTGCTGTTAAGAGCGCATGCTCTATCCACTGAGCCATCTGGGCGGCAGCTCAGCTCAAGGTGCTGAGTTCAGTCTCAGCCATGGAACAAACAGGCAAGCTTGTCATTAGGAGCACATGCTCTCACCAGCTGAGCCATCCTGCTACCTGTTGGCAGCTCAGCAGCAGCTCAGCCTTGGCGCAGCTCAGACGAAGCTCACTGGCCCATGTGGGAATTGAACCAGCAACCCTGTTGCTCAGAGCTCGTGCTCTTAAGTAAACTCTTAACCAACTGAGCCAATCGGCTGTCCCTCTCTAGTATATGTTCTAATCCTAAGTAAAAGAATCTCTGAGTCCTCCAGTTCACTCATGAATGTGAGAAAGAAATATGTAAGAATGTCCTATTGATAGATGCATGTTAAGAAATGGAACAGTTAGGCCGGCCGAGTGGCTCAGTTGGTTAAGAGCTCACTCAAGAGTTTGAGCTCTGAGCAACAGCAGTTCGATTCCCGGCCCGAGCTGAGCAGCCGCTGAGCTGCCAACAGGTGGCAGGATGGCTCAGCTTAAAAAAAAAAAAAAGAAAGAAATGGAACAGTTTATATATTAAAAGACCTGTCTGTTTACACAAATTATATTGTTGGATGTCCAGTGGCCTTTTGGTTTATGTTAACTAGACCTTAAAACCTGGGGGACAAAATCCAACTGCCTCACTAACTACACTTTGAGTTAATGACCACTTATGTTTTTACCTGTAAGTAACATAGAACTAAAGTAAGTTACATCTTACTGTAGCATCTTTGTGTTGACTTTTTTTTTAAGATATTATTGGGGAAGGGGAACAATGTTGGGGAATTGGGGGAGGGGAACAGCCAAGTTCTTGTCCTTCAATGCTTGTTGTGGAGGGCACAGTTAGCTCAGGTCCAAGTCCAGTCACATCCAGCCACCCATCAGCAGCTCGTGGCCACTCAGCTCAAGGTG